GTCACCCAGGCTGGAGTACAGTGGTACAATCACGGCTCACTGCCGCCTTGACATCCTGAGCTCAAGCGATTCTTCCACCTCAGCCTCCCAAGTAGCTGGGACTACAGGTGTGCACCACTGCACCAGGCTCATTATTATTTTTTTTTTTTCGAGATGGAGTTTCATTCTTATTGCCCAGGCTGGAGTGCAGTGGTGCAATCTCTGCTCACTGAAACCTCCACCTCCTGGGTTCCAGCGATTCTCCTGCCTCAGCCTCCCGAGTAGCTGGGACTACAGGCGCGCGCCACCATGCCTGGCTAATTTTTTTTTTTTTTTTGAGACGGAGTCTCACTCTGTAGCCCAGGCTAGAGTGCAGTGGCCAGATCTCAGCTCACTGCAAGCTCTGCCTCCCGGGTTCACACCATTCTCCGGCCTCAGCCTCCCGAGTAGCTGGGACTACAGGCGCCCGCCACCTCGCCCGGCTAGTTTTCTGTATTTCTTAGTAGAGACGGGGTTTCACTGTGTTAGCCAGGATGGTCTCGATCTCCTGACCTCGTGATCCACCCATCTCGGCCTCCCAAAGTGCTGGGATTACAGGCTTGAGCCACCACGCCCAGCCAATTTTTGTATTTTTTAGTAGAGATGGGGTTTCACCATATTGGCCAGGCTGATCTTGAACTCCTGACCTCGTGATCCACCCACCTCGGCCTCCCAGAGTGCTAGGATTACAGGTGTGAGCCACCGCACCTGGCCAATAAAAGGAAATTTTTAGTACTATTGTTACAACTTTTCTTAAGTCTACAATTATGCCAAAATAAAAGTTAAAAGAATAAAAAAATGACATACCTATGACAGTACTTTCCTGATTTTTCTTGCATTCCTTATTGGTGAGATCCACATGACGAAGGCTCAATGGTTCATCTTTGTAGCCCTCATAGCACCTGACACAGCAACTAGCCACTCAGTAAATAAATTAACTGCATCTGCAAAACACACATTACATGTATCCAGAAAATGTATACTGAGAAAATATAAAAGCAACTAATTTTCATAAAAGGTTCCCAGCAGAAAAGGGAGGAGACAGATTAATTTAAAACGTACCTTTTCCTCTCTCCAGGTCTACAGGTAAAGGATGGTAATTGTCTGCACCACACTTAGATTTCCTTTCAAAAGTGTAATCAGGTCCAGCACGCTGGCTCATGCCTGTAATCCCAACACTTTGGAAGGCCTGGTGGAGCACTTTCAGGAATCGAAGACCAGCCTGGCCAACACAGTGAACCCCTGACTCTCCTAAAAATACAAAAATTAGCCAGGAATGGTGGCACACACCTGTAGTCCCAGCTATTCAGGAGGTCGAGGCAGAAGAATTGCTTGAACCCAGGAAGTGGAGGTTGCAGTCAACTGAGATCATGCCACTGCACTCCAGCCTGGGTGACAGAATGAGACTGTGTCCTTCAATTAGGAAAACCACAGATCTGTCCAAAGAAAGGAGAATGCTTTAAGAGTGAGAATCCTGCCGGGCACAGTAACTCACACCTGTAATCCCAGCACTTTGGGAGGTCGAGGCGGGCGGATCACAAGGTCAGGAGATCGAGACCATCCTGACTAACACAGTGAAACCTCATCTCTACCAAAAAACAAAAACAAAAACAAAAAAATTAGCCAGGCCTGGTGGCAGGTGCCTGTAGTCCCAGCTACAGGCTGAGGCAGGAAAGTGGCATGAACCCGGGAGGCGGGGCATGCACTGAGCCGAGATTGTGCCACTGCATTCCAGCCTGGGCGACAGAGTGAGACTCTAATTGTCTTAAAAAAAAAAAAAAAAGAGTGAGAATCCTTGGCTTATGCCTGTAATCCCAGTACTTTGGGAGGCTGAGGCTACTGGACTGCTTGAGCTCAGGGATTTGAGACCAGCCTGGGCAACATAGTAAGATCTCATATCTACAAAAAATACATAAAAAATCAGCCAGATGTGGTGGCAGGACCCTGTAGTGCCAGCTACTTTGGAGGCTGAAGTGGTAGAATTGCTTGAGCCTAGGTGGTTAAGCTCAGCCTAGGCAACCAGACCTTGTCTCTACAAAAATTAAAAAATAAAAAATTAGCCAAGCATAGTAGCATGTGCCTATGGTCCTAGCTACTCAGGAGGCTGAGGTGGGAGGCTCATTTGAGCCTGGGATGTTGAGGCTGCAGTGAGCCTTGATTGTGCCACTGTACTCCAGCCTGAGTGACAAAGCAAGACCCTGCCCCAAAGAAAAAAAAGTTATTACTATAAAGATAAACACACTAAATTAATTTCTGCCCATAAATTGGATTATGGTTCTCTCAGTGTAAGAAATGCTCTCCAGTCACTCCTATAAATACAGTTCCTTGACTATGTGGTTTCAAACAGGGATCTAAAATGGTAATATTTAACATCAGAAATCTATGACCAGCAGATGGCTGAAGTCGGAAAAGTTACCTATCAGGCTGTTTTGGGGTATTAAGAACTTGTAAGGTTAAGGCTAAGAAGTTAATGTCCTAGAAATCTAATAGGTTGGTGTTGATGTAATTAGCAGCCACTAATTCAAATTCTGTGAAGATACTTTGCTTCTGCTAAGAAAATGGCCTGAAATGTGTGTCTGTATATACTGCATGCAAATATAGCCACTCTGGGTATATCTAGCATGGGTCTGAAATGGCTGAGCAAAGGAGTGTTAGTGTAGAAATATTCCCTATTTAGGGATTGCGGGGAGAAGGGGAGATACATATATACTTATTTTAAAGCTTTGCTAATAGAAAAACAAGGAATAATGAAACAAGAAATAAAAATGAATGTATTACAAAAAGAATTTATTAGACAAACACACCAATAGATTGAGTCTAAGGATTTGGTTGGAAAGCCACTGGGCCTTTTAAAGCAGCGGAAGTCCAAAGTCACACGCTTCAAGCATGACTCTGCAACAATCTGTGGAAACCAGAGGGTCAGGAATCACAGCACTGTGCTAGGCCACGAACACATCAGCCTCCCACCTCCCTCCCTATTCCCTCTCTTCTACTGACGTCCGTGATTCTGGTACCTGAGAAGACTGGAATGAAATGTTTCCCACTTATTACAGAAATTCAGCGTATTTGTTACAGAGGAATTGTCACACTTGAATTGTCTGCTTAATATGGGATATTGCTTTTGAGAAACCAACGAATAGTTATTAAAGGAGTGTTTACCAAAGGGTAAGGTAAATATTATCTCATATAGTATCTGCATTTTTAATCTCATCTGGCACCAATTGTCTTTTCGAAAGTTACAATGTGTTGTCTGGGGGACATTCTTCTTTAGAAGGAAAAGAGTCTAATTAGTGGATATTAAGTAATTAAATAATATATACTATCAAACCTTATGAGAGTCACATGAACCATAAAGTCTTCATTTAATTTGGGAGAAATGGGGAATATTTTCTATCATTCCTGATGATAGAACGAGCTATTTCAAGATCATAGTAATGGAACTGCAATCCATAATGCCAAACAGTGTGCTTTACTTTGAAGCCATTGAGCACTAAATTTGATTGTTAGTAGCATAGGCTACCAAAAAATATCAAGGAATATGGTATCCACATAGATCTCAGCTGGCCTCAAGTAATCAAAAGTGAGAATGAAACATACATGACACAACTGGGGACCTCTGGGTTTCTGAGATGTGGACTACAAGATTGTATTAGGTAGAAAACTAAAGGAAACGTATCCCAAGCAAAAGTGGCAAGGGAATTTCGCAGAACGAATTTTTTAAGAGAGGTAATAAAAGCAGCAGTTAAAACGCATGTCCATGTATCAGGTTCCTGGAGGTGAATCCAGTAGGAACATGACAGCTCTTCACACCCAAGTATTGCTTTCATGGGCCCTTACAATCTCCGCTTGTTCACCACCGTGGAGAGTCTGTTTGTAATAAGAATTGTTCTCAAGTCAGAATCCTAGATGAAGATCTAAAAATGTTGAGTTTGTGCTTTTAAGAAACAGTTCAGCTGTCCACATGTATTGTGTGCTGGTGGAGCTAGCTCTTCCCCAACCTGGCTCACTACTGGGAGCCCAGGAATCCCTGGGACAGGCAGATAAGCCAGGACTGAAGTTTTAAAGAATCAGCTACTGCAAATCAAAGTAGGCAGCCTCATGCATAGACTTCCTGATATTAGTTGAGCCATTGCTGCCTTCATTATCATTTTTATGCCTTTGGGGCCACTGTGTGGTTTGGTCCAAGCTGTTCTCAAAACTTGCCGTGCAACAGACCTGTGTCTACTTTAGCAGGTGAGTCTAGCTACACATCAAAGTCACCTTTCCTACCACAAACTTCCGGCCTACTCAGAACACCAAGGTACCTCCCTCTCAGGAATAACCTGGGGAGGTTATTTGGAACAAGTATTGCGCTCCAGGCCGAATCTTAAGTAAAGATCTAGAAATGTGGAGTTTTATGCATTTTAAAAATAGTCGTTTCAGAGGGGCCGTGTGTGCTCCAGGACCAAGCTTTCCCCAGCCTCGTTCAGGATCTGGAAGAAATCTCTGGGTTTGGGCTGAACCATCGAGCATGAGGAGGGGAAGCTGTCAGTTGTGAACAGAGACTGTTTCTCAGCCTTTGATGAGCCAGCACCTTTAAAGGCTCCATCCTAGCCGCCAGCAGCTGGCAACCAGGGCGTCTCTGCTCCGCGTGTTTTCCTCCTGGCATCTTGGTTAGCTCCGCGCCGAACACCCAGAGCCTCAAAAAATAGCCCCTGAACTGAATTAAACCTGACCCACAGTGAACAGCAAGGTCCAGAAACCGCAAGGTTTGGGGTCAGCCTCCGTCCCCAGACACTCTGAAGGATGGCAGATCCCTGACCCCTGGTGGCTCGCGAGGATTGCAGACGCCCAAGGCGGGCAGAGGGGCGGAGTCTCAGGCCTCTGGAAGGGAAGGGGCGCTCTGACACCCCCACACCTGCACCCCGGGTGGAGGAGCCGAGGGCACACGACGATGCCAATCCCTCGTGAATCCCGCGAAGGAGGGGCCGGGGGCTCCTGATTCATAGGTGCTGGGCGTAGAAGGGGGTCAGGTAGGAAGGCCCGAGGAACGGCGCGAAAGGGCTCCCGGGGACGGCAGCCGTCAGCGGGAAGGAGGCGGCGGCCGGGAAGAGGACGTTGGCCGAGGAGTAGGAGGGGAAAGTCTGGAAGGGCAGAGCGCCGGTGCCGGGAGGGCCAGGACTGCCCCCCGAGCCGCCGCCACCGCCCCCCGCCGCCCCTGGCTGGGGCGTGCCACCCCCAACCTGCGCCGCGCCGTCCGCACCCGGGTTCTGCTTCTTCCACTTGGTCCTGCGATTCTGGAACCAGATTTTGACCTGCGTCTCGGTGAGGCTGAGCGACAGCGCCAGGTTGAGGCGCTCGCACACCGACAGGTAGCGCGTGGCCTTGAACTTGTTCTCCAGCGCCACGAGCTGCTCGTAGGTGAAGGCGGTGCGCGCGCGCCGCGGCTTGGCGCAGTTGGGCACCACGCGCCGGCGCCTGGTCCGCGGGGAGCCCGGGGAGCCCGGAGGGGACCCCACAGGGCCGCCCCCGCCGTCCTCGCAGGGCTCCCCAGACGCCAATGCCCCGGCCGGGGCGTCAGGTGAGCGCGCTGGGCCCGGCAGCAAGCGCGCAGCCCGCTCCCGCCGCCGCGGCCTCCCCGGATCCTCCGCATCCTCCTCCTCTTCCGCTTCGGAACCCTCCAGGGGGGACGCCTGGCCGGCGCCTGGGCCCGCAGCATCTAGGGGAGAAGGGGTCGGTGAACAGAAGCCTCTCCGGGTCCCCAAACCTCCTCCTCGTCCTCCCTAGAGCAAGCAGTTCTCCCCGCAACCCAACTCCGGGTGCTGCTCCTGTCCCCACATCGCGCTTCCCTCAGGCGGGACTGCACATCCTTGCCAGCGGGTTTAGGGGAATGGTGTCCTCTTGCCCTTTACAAATCTGCCATCAAGTAGGCGTCCAAGAAATGTATGCTAAATGAATGAATGACACTCCGCATTAAGAAAAAATAGTGACCTTATTGGGTGACCATATTGGGAGGTAGGATCATTGTATTAAGACATCTAGATGTCAAACGCCTTTAGGGCTGTGCCTTCCCCGGACCCTGGAAGCCTATTTTGGTCTAGGACTCCTAGCAATTAAAAAAGAAGTTATTAAGCTCTCTGCCCCACCCCACCCCCACCCCCGCTTTAAAGTGAAATTCCCTTTCCCATCTTCTCTCTCCCGCCGTGTTAATAGAGTTTCAGATTTGTGCGGGGCCGGATCGATAGATGTCATCTATTAAAGGTAAGTTTTAATCGAACAATATTAGGATCAGACAGGGAAAGGGGGTTTGAAGTCCGTACCTGCAAGCTGCGGGCAGGAGATATGCAGGCGCCAGTAATAGAATATCGATCACGAGGGTGGGGGAAGGGAGCGCGGCCCCTCGGAGAGAAGATCCGAACAATTACCAGGCCGCTGGCCCGGGCCCACGTGCGGCCGCCAGAGGCGCCCCGGGCCCCAGGCAATCACCGCCAAACTTGGGGAGGGGAGCAAGGGGCTGCGTGGCATCCAGCCTCCCCGGGGACCAGAGCCTCTGACCCTTCAGGGAGCCGCCTTTCCCTGTCGGATCCCACGCCCCACCCAGCAGGACTCCTGCTGTCTTCCGTCCTTCCTTCCAGCCACAAACTTTCCTGACCCCTTCATCAGGTGGCCGCCAGCGTTGGGAGTAATTCAGAAAGGGTTTCGAGAAGAAAGTACCAAAAGCTTCCCAGCACCTCATCCGAGCCCCGCCCCCAGCCCCAGTCAACAGTTGGGTCTGGGGAGCTTGAAAGCGTGGGGCAGCCTAGCCCCGCAGGCGTCTCCAGGTGGCACCTGACCTCTCTACTTACCAAGACCCCCGGCGCAAGCCTTAGCCTCAGCTCCTCCATCCATAAAATGGAGGTGATGTTAATGATGCTGTCCAACTCTCAGGTTCCGAAGTTTTCATCACCTTTATCCCAGCCCTTAGCCCAGGTCCTAGCACGTGGCAAGCGCGTTAAATGCCTGATAAATGAGTAAGCCTGGCAAGGTAGGTGCCAGGTAAGTTAAGTTTCCACCGCGAGCATCAGAGCTGTGGTGCGCGGGAGCTTGGAGGGTGAGCAGGGATGCGGCAAATCCCTGCCCCGTAATGCGGGGAGCCTCCTCTCTGCCTCTATCCAGTTCCGAGGCGGGGGCTACACTTCGCACCCGGTCCCGTGCGCCTTCTCTCTTTGAGGAAGACGCCGTTAAGGGCCATTCACCGGGCCCGGGTGTTCCCCCATACACTCCGAAGTGTTGGGGCTGAGGCCGCCTGGGGCCGGGGCCACCTTGCATCTTACCAGGGGTCTCCAGCTGTCGTACAGGGTCCCTGGAGCTGGCATCTTTCCCCGCTTCGATCTCGGCCAAACTTTTCCTGGCTTCCCGGGGAGCAGGGCGCACCGCCGGGAGCGCTGCGCGGGTGAATTTCTGCGGGTCCAGGATGTCCAGGACGGAGAAAGAGATCTTGTGGTGGGAGGGAGCCGCCTTGGCCCCGCCGTCCTGCCATGCCAGCATGCCCG